CTTTGGCAACAGGACTCGAAACCATGCCACACAAGCATGGTAAACATGTCATTGCTGTCAGACATTTTCTGCGACCATATCACCCCTTACAACTGGCTACCTAACACCCCAGACTTCAGCACCTTGATTAATATATGTGGAGCTATTTTGAGCGGGAGACCAAAAAACTCCTTGTAACACCAAAGATGAACTGAAGGCAAGCATTGTGGCAGCATTCACCTAATTAAACAAGGAGACCGCCCAAAAGAGCTGCAAGAGATTCCGAAGTCGTCTGGAGGCTATATTTGAAGCCAATGGCAATTTTATTGAATAAATCTGCTCTTTAGTATTTCAAGATATCAAAGAACGTGATAATTTGCAATTATCATAACATTTTTAAAAATGGCAAGGACATTTAGATTCCCTACATGAACCCTGTTTTCTGTGCAATTATCAGGTCTTTTGATAAGAATGCTTTATTAAAATAAAGTTAACGGTAAATTGTAAACACAGTTATTGTTATTAAGACATTATATAAAGAAACTTTAGTCAACAATTGCATATTAATTTTTAAGTAAATCTATACGTTTGAATTATTTCCTGGTTTCTTAAAGAAGCTATGCATTTATCAGCTATAATTTTTTTGTTACTTTATGCAAAATGCAAAGCATATAGCTTGTCTAGCAGATTGTTAAGTTTTCTTAAGGAATATAAGACAGACAAAAAACGACAGACAAGTTACTGCGATTAAACTTTTTATTTAATTGTTCATGTGTTCGAACAAATATTTTCTTTTATGGACACAGACTGTGTAGAAATTATCCAAATATTCTATAATTGCGAGTGCTTTCGGATATACTTTTAGCCATAATCAAGGATGATTTTATTTTTTCAATTTAATTGGATGTGTGCATTGTGTGTATGTTTTTAGTGTTATAGAGATGTTATTTTCCGAACACAGCGCATTGTGGCTGTGGTCATTGTTAATATTATTAAATGCTTTTCATTTTTATTATTAAGGGTTCCATTATATTTAATCTTTTTTACACATGTATGAGGCTATTATGTTTGTATTTTCTAATAGTATGTTTCAGATGGAGCCTTGTAAGTTTATGTGTGTTTAAATGGTTTCTAATAGAGCTCTGGTTAGATAGGTGTAACGTAAGGCGTCTGCATAGGCATGTAGTCGTGTGAGCGATGTAATTATTTATGAATTCGTTTTGATCAGGAAAAACAGTTACTTACGGGGCATTTGAAATCATAGATAATGTTGGTTCCTTGTAATTTTGAGTTTGCTGCTTTGTTATTATTTTTAAGTATAAGTTTATCTGTTTTAATTTTTTTTCTAGTAGATAATTTGATTTTTTATTCGGGTCAACTGGGCTAGTGTATTTCTTTCTAATAATTCTAAGTGAAGATTCATATTATAGTTAATGTGCATTTGGTCTTTGTAGAAAATATTTAGGTTATATTTGACTGTATGTTCACTATCATTTTTATTTACTTTGGGAAGAAATAGTCTAATTTGTTGGTCTATGGAAGCCATTGTTAATTAGTGTCCGTTTTACTTTATTGAGTTCTTTAAGGAAGAGTAGTCGAGAAGATGAATACAGGTGTGCTTTTTTAAGACGTATTTTATCACTGCTATTTTGTATCTAAAAAAAAATATGCATTTGTATATAAACCCTCGCTCGAACATTTTTATTTGATTTGATTATATATATATATATATATATATATATATATATATATATATACATGTATATTATATATTTAATATATAATATATATATTATGGCTTGACGATTGTATCTAGCATGAAACAGACTGTCGCCTCTAACTGTTGACTTCTATGTTCACTTTTATATTTACACACGCTCTATCTCTGATATTGAGCACTTTATCCCATAAATATAGCACATCTTAAGACTATATTTCTTCATATATATATATATATATATATATATATATATATATATATGATTTAGGAATCGGCATGATAATCACATAAATACATTTACAAACCCATACCCATACCCATATCCCTCCCAATTACAATTTGGTTTATATATATATATATATATATATATATATATATATATATATATATATATAAAATATACTAGAATAATCCTAAGGAGCCAGGCAAACCTAACTAGGTTTCACCTAAACAGATCTTCAGGAAATAACGGAACAGTATTTATTGATAAAAACCAAATAAAACCATAACCACGTGACCTCCCCAAAAAACAAAACAAACAAAACAAAAAGGGTATCACTCCTCTCTCTCTCTCTCTCTCTCTCTCTCTCTCTCTCTATATATATATATATATATATATATATATATATATATATATATATATATATATATATGATGATGATGAAGCTGTATGTAGTAGTTTTTTTATTCAAGTGATCCAATCTGAGAGACTGAGATGCCACTTCCCCTGACATAGTCTCGCCAGATTTACAAGCCATTAATTATTCTTGCTATTCTCTTTATGTTCTCACTCAAATGATTTATTCATAGAAAGTTTCCCACTGATTTTGTTGCGATTCTCAGCTGTGTCGCAAGTGTTCACATGCCATGTAATGAAAGAAGTCGACCCCAAAAATTAATCGAACTCTCTCACACACACACTCTCCAAAATGGGCAGAGATCACAGAGATTTACACACACACACACACACACACACACACACACACACACACACACACACACACACACACACACACACATTGTGCACACATATCCCGCAAAAGTATTAATATAAGCATTTATAATCATAAAGAGCCTAAAGTGTCGGAATATAATAGTGTGTGATTTTTGTGAGAACTGAGGTAGAATTCTTTTGTGTATATAATTGTATGGGATGAGAATTATTCTGTCTTTCTATTATCTGGAGATGGTTCTTAATATTGCGATGATTTGTAACGTGCTCTCATGAAACTACATGCTATTTCTTTCACAATCAAAATTACCTCCTTTAAAAGGCTATCAGTTCAAAGCGACAAAAGTCGCATGTGAATATTACTGAAGAGAAATTTCGTTTGTCTAACAAATGATGTTTGGTGAAGAAGAATTGAAATTTCGAGCAAAGAATATCGAAGGAGATATAGCCAATATTCTGAAGTAGTTTGGCGTGAGGAAATGTTTGGAGAATGTACAAAGGTAGCAACAACGGAGGCTGCCAGCTCCTTCGATGCCTAAATGAAATACAAATGTTGGACTGAGGAAGAAAAACAGAGGAAACAAGATAAATGCATAATGAAATTCGATCATCCAAATCTTATAATACCTTTACTTACTATTTACATTGTTTGGACTGTTGTCCTCATCTTTACTGTCATATTCACAACATTTCGGCCATTGTACGCTCCGAACTTCTCCAGGTTAGATTGTTCTAGTTCCACGTTCAGTGTCTCTTCCGGATATCTCAGTTTCAGTTACTTCCCTTAGTAACTTTTGTTCACCTCTTCTGTGGCCAGGTATTGAACTCACAAGACTTTGTGCCAAGTCACTAGATTACTTCAACCAATGTTTTTATCTACTTTTACCCACGGATAGCAACGAAAACAACATGCAAAAATTAGTTAGAACAATTGGTAAAATTATCATTTTTATTAACGTTTTATCATTTGATGTTCTTCAAAATTATTTTAATTTAAAAAATTTATGAAGCGGATTTGCTATTAAATTTCAGATTTATAAGCCAATAGCTGTACTTCTTTTTGTAATATAATGGGTAACTATGGAACAGAATCGAAATTTCAGAAAACCCTTTGCATTTTATAGTCAGACAGACAACAGATAGATAGTTTCTCCAAGTAATTTGCTAATATATATTTAATAATATTCTTGATTACCTTTAACCATACAAGAAATTCCATCTGCTCTATGACAGATCTCGTATTTTTTCATCCTACTGGGTGTCTAGTCAACATCCTCACTAGAAAAGCCTGGTGGGGGAGCCAGTTTAATTACTAAGGATCCAGCCATGCGACGGATATTACTGGGTCATATTGTATATAACATAAATTACATTAATGACATTACTTACAATCAAATAAATAACTTCTGGTAAAAAAATATACACAAGCTGTCCCCCCAAAATTGATATCATTTTGTAGCCAATTCTAGCACAAATGATGTTAAATTTTAATTAAATGTGTAAAACCTAAGTTGAATGTTTCTTTTTATTATTTTTTTAGGGTGAATAATGAGGTTCACTTGAAATGAAAATGCATTTTGTGCGTCAGAATATGCCCGAACGCAGTCAAAAAAGAGGGTGCACCGTGCATTTTCGAGTAAATTCAATAAAATTGCATCAACTGGAAAGCAGATTTAGATATAGCACCAAAACTTCAAAGACTAAGGCTGTATGTGCAGGACAAAAGAATCCGGACGACCTCCAGTATCGGAAGATATTGTCAATCAAGCTCGGGAAACATTTTTGCAAAGCCCCAGAAAGTCTGTCAGAAGAGTATATCTAACTCTGCCAATCCAGATTCCTCGTACGACAGTTTGACGCTGGAGAATGTTACGCAAGACATGCTACAGGTGGTGCGTCTATTTAACATTAGTGAAACTTTGTGAAATCGTTTATAAAATCTACATCCCTTGGAATATCTTGTTTGAATTTTGATAAATACATTTTTATTGGCCAACATGAAACCTATTTAATTTCCTTTGCCTGGGATATGTAGTTATTCAGATATTCACATTTTAAATTATGTCAATTTTTTGGAGACACTCTGTATATGAGAACAGACAGTAATACATGAAGATATGTATTTACCGATTTTAGTCTGAGCTTTCTCTTAGAAAACAAACAATTATACTCACAGAACATAGAAGGCAAAAGAGGTCGTTGGTGCTATCGAATGGCAGAACGGCAGTTTGAGGGATGATCCAAGATTACCAACGTTAGGCACAAAATTCTTATATAGACAAATCCTAATCGTTTATAGTCGAGTCGGATCACTTATACGTTCTTCTTACTTTAAATGACGTGTCCTTCATGCCGCGAGAGGACGTAGCTCTCCACAAATTCATCTCTCTCTACCTTAAGAAACGTTTCACTCTAGTTAGTAACCTGCTTACCAATTTTTGTGTCCCCATTTCTTCACTATAAGAAAAGGAGAAATTTCCCTCAACATTCTCAGCAGTAACAATTATGTGGATTGGTGCTCTTTTCGTCGGACTTGAATGCAGATTTGAACTCCCAAAGCCATTCTCTGGATCATCGATTATTTCAACTGCAGGCAGGTGTCAATGATAGGTTGGCGCCAATGAAAACTGTTCAATCGGAAAAAGTCGATTCTTTGCAACGGCTGACAAGTTCAGCAAAGAAGGAGTTCACTTGACAATGACGCCACTTCGATAGATTCATAAACAATGTAAGGTCACTTCGATAGATTTATATACAATGTAAAACAAACCCTCAGTTTCGCAGAAATATAATTGCCTCTGGAATTTGGTCCAAGTTTCTCTTGACGGAGTTTAGATTAATGAATCTTTTCACATCCTAACTGTCCTTGTTCCTCCACGATATTGGATTTTTCAACGTAGCTAATATCCTAGACATTCGTTTTTTTAATTTATCCAACTTACAGATTTGTTCTGTGATGAACTGGTGTTAAGTAAAATCTATAATTATTTTTGTCCATTATCTATCTATCTATCTGATTTTTTTCATTATCTATCTAATTTGGTTCATTATCTATCTATCTATCTATCTATCTATCTATCTATCTATCTATCTATCTATCTATCTATCTATCTATCTATTTCAGTTTGTTCATTAACTATCTATCTTATTTTATATCTGACTGTGCTCAGTATGAGTGATACAGCAAACATATTTAGTTGGATTGATGTGAGTTTGTTTACGATCGCCAGTCCCACACTGTTCATATATGTTTATGATTGTGTGAGCTGTAATGCGTGAACGTGCGTGAATGTGTGTCTGCGTGTGTATGAGTGGCGTTCTGACGACAATTTTTTTCTCCTACTATCATAAAACACCGATATACGCAGCCATAAATAAATCCAAAATTTCAAAATTAATCAGATTGTCTGATGATCGCAAAGGGCGTGAAACCCAGGGGCACAAAACTCACATCAATCCAATATGTGTGTGTAAAAAAAAGATATAACCTCAAAACAGAGTATAGATATTGTACAGTTATTGAATGATGGGATAACAACTTTGGAAAATATAATAATATCGAACCGAAATTATGCAATAACCAAAAAGGAAAGTCAAGACATTGGCAAAATAAGAACAAGAAAAAAAAAACTTATTTGAAAAAAACTTAAAAGGGAGATAAACAAGAAAAGTTGATTGACCGGAAAGAAAACATTTGAAGAAACTCTAGCAAAATATTTGAAGACACATATAGTTAGCGAGAAAAGATACTGAATATATCAATAACATGTCTAAAAACATAATAGACACAAACGATTAAATTTTGTTAAACATCACGAAGAGAAAACAGTAAGTTGGGTAAAGAAGTATGATGAAAACTGAACTCCCTTCAGTATCTTTAACGATAAATGGTGAGTTAAATTGTAGGGACCTAATAGCTACACTAGAGGCAAATCGTCAACCAACAAGATCTGGGATACAACAGTTAGAGATGGAGCAGCGAAATATAGTAAATGCGAAGATTATTGTTTTTAAGAATTTATTGTAGAGTACAGAAAATTACTGCATTGGATTTAACAAGAAGTTTTTGAATGGTACAGCTAACGGCCAAGAATCTTTAAAGAAAATAGTAATATAACAAACAGCAGTCCTTTAAATTTGAATATATATATATATATATATATATATATATATATATATATATATATATATATATATATATATGAGAATGAAAAAGCAAGATTCATGCAAAGTACAACTCTATAATCAATTACCTGGAATAGTTGTAAAAATGTCTGAAGTCGAGATGCCAGGTCAAGATCAATTATATTACAGACCCATCTTTGAATTTTTTAAGAATATCGAAATATATAGCAAAAACGCCAAACCGAATATTCACGATTTATAAATAAAAGATGATTTTTCATTTAATCTGCATAATAATACCATTTTTTATCAACATTTTAATAAGGAGAGATATTTATTTGGCACAATCGGGAGGGTAAAAAATGATAAACGTTAAATTGCAAATGAAATCTGACGAATTATATATATATATATATATATATATATATATATATATATAGAGAGAGAGAGAGAGAGAGAGAGAGACAGAGACAGAGACAGAGAGACAGAGACAGAGACAGAAAGACAGAGAGACATGACTCAATACTCCAAGGTGACTGTCAGTTTCAGGCCTCATTGCGTTATTCACACGAAACAAAAGATCGCACTAAGGCAAGAAATTCTCTAAAATGTAGAAACACATTTTCCTTATATCAAACAGTTTTACCCTATAAATATACCAAAGTTTATCCTATAAGGAAACTTTTGTAAATTTACCACATTTTTTTTTTTATTTTTATTTTTATGTGTGTTTGAATTCTAATAGACATTTTTGTGTTAGTCTGGTTGTATCTGTGTTTAATTCCTGAAGAATTTTGGTGGGAATGATTATCTTGCGGAAGTTGCTTGTGTCGGTACGTATGTTGATTGTGGATGGTTGGTGGGTGTTGAAGTAAAAGACTCAAGTTACATCGACCGCAGATACCAGAATTCTTAGATTCTTTAAGTATGTTTTTATTAACTTTGGTGAGTTTGGCATGTGCTTATCGATGGGAAATATATTTATTGGTAAATTTTTTCTTCGTAGTAAAGCATGTTTCCTACTTACTAGTGTGGCATCTTTAAATACAATTTATGTCCCGCTTTTATTTCTGTGTATTACGAGAGAGTTCAGTGGGTTGTCCGAATGGCGATCTCTCCTATGTTCGTAGATGGGAACTTTTAACTTTCTGGATGTTTCCCCTGTATAACTCTGTTGGTATTGCAGGAATTTAGTATTATATTAGTGTACCGATACCGTCAACAATGATGACAATTGTTAGAAATATTTATTAGTGACATGCAATGAAAAAAACTTGAAAAAATGTATTGCTATTCAATAAATCGGAGATAAAGAATCCCCATCTAAATTTATTTTGAGTTATTTGAGTGCCTCACATGAAAGGCTTGAACAAATAAAACTACAATCTAAGAGTAAAGGAAGTGATTAATTAAATGGTTCATTTTGCTCGATACATGACTGACGAGGCAGATTTTTTCACGCAGTAGGTTGCCATTACTTTCTGCGGTATACCAGCAGCCATTCACGCCTACAAAACCCGGTCTGTCTTGATATTCACCCATAGTCTTACCAACTGGGGTGGGAAGAAGAGGATTCGTACCTTTCCCAAGGTACACGTAAGTGAATGTAATGGATTCGACTGGAATTCGAACTCGGCTCTCCGATTTCTCACTCCGAGCCGCTATCCATTACTCCACCATTAGGAAGATGAGTATTTTTATTTTCATCAAGATGGAACACTATCATTCTACCATCATGATGTTCGCTCGTACCTGAATGGAATCTTACCAAACAAATTGATTGGATGACGAAGTTCTGTAAAATATTCTCCCCTCCGTCACAGGACCGCACCACTTTAGACTTTTTCTTGTGAAGATACGTTTTTCTTGTTGAGATAAGGCCAATCGCCGAAATGAAAGTTTCCATAAAACAGGAATGCAGCCAAATACCTATCGAAATGTTGTTTGCTGCTTATGATCCCACTGCGTCGCATTGTCAGCAATGCCGGGATCATGACAGACATCAAGTTGAAAACATGCGACCACAAAATCTTAAGAACATGCATTTATAATAAATGCTGTCTTCATATGCATTATTTAAATTAGATAAATCTGGTTAAAAATGTAACGGGGATTGCTTTGCCGTAGAGTGGTCCGTGGTCGAAACGCTAAAGCACGCATGACTTAAAATTGGTTTCACATGATGAAAAAAAAATTGATCATACGCCAAGTAAAATTCTCAAGTCACTTAACCTGCCAATAGTAGTATGAGCATAATCCTCTTTTCTTCATATCACACTAACCTGCCATGTCACTCATCTCGTAACTCATTAGTGTCGTAGAAGTAATACATGGATTGTAGCTATTGCAGCAGTGGTGTGTCTAGGGTAAGATCTGATACAATCCATTTCCCGGCTTGTTTTGGATTCAGAAATTTATTTCTCTTAGACTGGATACCATCTCCTAGTTAGAGGAAGCCAACCCTTCTATTTAACTCATAGATAGGGGTTAGTGGAAGAAAATATGAATTTATGATTTCCCTAAGAGTCTAAGGGTAAAAAATGAACATCAAAAAAATAGGCCGCAACTCGAACTCGACTCGACGATTCCGCTTTCCGATTAGCTAATCGTTACAATACTTTACTGCTTCATATACATATATATTCAGATCTATATACATAACTATTCTTTTTTTTTCTGAAATAGGAAGCACCTGTATGCAAGGACTGCGGCTTTTTAAGGATATTTTTTTCAAACAAGCGTTAAATCTTTTCCAGCAAACTGTATCCGGGGTCACCTCAGTTGACCGAGGATATCCGGAGATGACCGAATATATGTGATCATAGCCGAACGACATCCGGATTTGGCCAAATGGTTTAACGACCTCATGAATGCATAATTACGAAGATTGGCCTCCAAAAATCATAAAGTTTCGATTTAAATCTCGTTTTCTTGTCTCTCCTTTGAATCTTTTTTGAACAGTGAAGCGGCAAAATCTGAACTTCATTATTTTTAGAGGTTTCGTGATGCCGTTACGTATTTCTCGCTTGATTAACTGGTCATAGCGAAGTGAGGGAGTGTGTGTGTGTGTGTTTTATTATTTTAAATACTCACTGGAGACCACCCCCAAATATCCGGAAATATCAAAATTTGTGGAGTAGTGGAATGTTTTATTTTTATTTTTTATTTCTTTTTTGTATGAGCTGTGACCCTTCAGGACGTGGGCGAAGCTGGCTCCTCCTAACTTGAAATCTTTTGGAGCTCTTTGCAATATTTGTCTTTTTAATATCACTCCCTCCTCAACTATCCATTTGCACAAGCTTGTTAGATAGCTTACTCGCTGTTTCTATTTGTTGCTCTTGCCTTTATCAGGTCCAGTCAGAGTCAAATTATCCAAAGCGTCTTTTCTCAGTATGTAGAAATGGCAATTGCTTCTTTTTGATTCTAATTACAAGCGTCCTTTTTGTTTCTATTTTCCTGAAAATTTCCTTGTTGCTTACATGTTCAGTCATGGTATTCTTAACATTATTCTGTAGAACCACATTTCTATTGCATCAAGTTTCTTCTTCATCTTAACGGAGTGTGTCCAGCTTTCGATAGCAAGAGTGATATTAAAATACAGCTCGATACTTTTCTTTGTTAATAACGAATTTTTCTTGTTTCTTTGCTTAGCTTTTTTATCCAAATGCACCATCGGATTTCACTGTTACATTTTCTGTTCACTGTCAAAATATTTCCCAGGTATTTAAAATTCTGTAATTGATTAATTGCTCGCATATTAGGCTGACAACCATGCATTCCCTTTTCTTATAATTGATCTTTAGTTTTTTCTTCTCGCTTTCTTTTCCTACCTTGACCAGGAAGTTCCGCACTTTTCTTCTTTCTTGACAAAAAGTGTTACTATGTTAAAGTTAAAATCTGTATTTGTTTTATTTAATATGTGTTCTACAGTATATGGCTTTTATATTTCCGTTCATTTTCCGCCTTCTTGGAGCGATAGTTGGTTGGTTGATTTTGTT